GAAACTCTTAAACAAAAATTAATTGATGCTCCTATTCTTGCGATATACGACCCAAGAGACCAAACAGAACTACACTGTGATGCTAGTTCTCATGGTTTCGGGGCTATAATGTTACAAAAAAAGGGGGATGGTAAGCTTCACCCAATTTTCTATTTTTCAAAAAGAACAACTGAACATGAATCAAAAGATCACAGTTTCGAGTTAGAAACATTAGCTATTATTTATGCTCTACGCAGATTCAGGATATATTTACATGGAATAAAATTTAAAATTGTAACCGATTGTCATTCATTAGCGTTAACCTTAAACAAAAAAGAAATAAATCCCAGGATAGCCAGATGGGCCCTGGAGTTAGAAAATTTTGATTACTCTTTAGAGCACCGTAAAGGAGAAAAGATGCAGCACGTCGATGCACTTAGTAGAAACACGAATATACTAGTGTTAGAAGAAAATACTTTTGAACAAAATCTATCCATATGTCAGTACCAAGATGAGGTAATTAATGAGATAAGGAAGAAATTAGAAAAAGAAGAGAGTAGTTACTTTGAAATGAGAAATGGGTTGGTCTATAAAAAGAAAGGAAACACCATACTGTTTTATGTGCCAAACAATATGGAGAGGAATATACTACAGCTTTATCATGATGATATGATAAAGTTGCTGATTCTATACTTAAATCTTATTGGTTTCCGAAACTCAGAACAAAAATAAAAGATCATATCGCCAATTGACTAAAGTGTATAACTTTTTCAGCAAAGTGCGGAAAGCACGAGGGGTATTTACACAATATTCCAAAGGGCTTAGTCCCTTTTGAAACTGTCCACATTGATCATTTTGGTCCAGTTAAAATTAAAAATTCTAAAAAGAAGTATGTATTCTTGATAGTAGACGCTTTTTCTAAGTTTGTTAAATTGTATGCTACGCGAACAACTAGCACAAGAGAAGTTTTAGGGTGTTTAAAATCATATTTTAATTCGTATAGTAGACCAAATATTATTATTTCCGATCGAGGGAGTGCATTTACATCAAAAGACTTTGAAGATTTTCTTAGTTGCTGTAATATTCGACATATAAAAATCGCCACAGGTTCGCCACAAGCGAATGGTCAAGTAGAGAGAATAAATCGGAGTTTAGCACCAATGATTGCTAAAATGACTAACGCAGGGTATACAGCTTCGTTAGATAAAATTATGCCTGATATAGAGTTCGCTTTTAATAACACGATTCATAGAAGTACTGGAATAACACCGAGTGAACTATTATTTGGAATTAGACAAAAGGGAATGGTTGTGGACTATTTGAAAGAAAATTTAGACGAGTTAAAGTCTGATGACGTTCTGAGAGATCTTAGGCAAGTAAGAAAAGAGGCTTCAGATCAAATTGTAAAAAATCAAAACTATAATAAATCGCTTAAAGACCGTCATAGAATTCAGAAAACATACAAAGAAGGAGAATATGTAGTTGTGAAAAATTTTGTTAGTGAGGCAGGCGCCAGTAAAAAGATTTTGCCAAAATATAAAGGACCCTATAGGATTACTAAAGTTCTACCTAATGACCGATATCTAGTAAAGGATGTAGAGGGATTCCAAGTTAGTCAGATACCTTATGAGGGGGTATGGGAAGCGGCAAATATTAAGCCATGGATTGGCAATTCATATCGAAAAGGTTCAATCGGGACGATTGCGGGTCAGGATGGCCGAACTGTGGCAACGCTAAATTAAAAGTGACACATAGTTTTTGACATACAGTATGAAACGAGTTAGTTATAGTTAAGCATTGTACGAGAAGAGTAAGAAATTGAAACGTGTTAAAAATAAAGGAAAAACTATTGCTTAAACAGCTAAAAGTTACACTAGACGAAATGGAAAAACAATTGGAC